TGTTGCTGCTGATCTGTTTCATGTTGCTGCTGATCTGTTTCATGTTGCTGCTGATCTGTTTCATGTTGCTGCTGATCTGTTTCATGTTGATGTGTTCATGCATGCTCATCTTCTCACACAGACTCATGTTCGTGCTGCTGTTCCTTTATTGTTTTTATGCTACTAGTGCTTAGTGTGTATTCAGTTGATGTTTTTCTTAGTTCATATCTTAGATCTTATTATTGTTTTTCTTTTACATTTTATTCTTTTGTTGGATGTAACTGGGACCCTGTGAACATAATCTGGTTCCACCACATGCACCACATGAGATGCTAATGGCAATAAAGAAACTAACTCTGATACTGGACACTGTGGGAGCAGAACATGGACTCAGAAGAAAACATTAATACGTGAACGCGTTCAAATCTCAGAAAGATAATCGTTAATCAGCAGATCAACCGTCAGATTCTCTGAGTTTGTAAGTGAAAATCCTTTTCCAGGTTTTCCCTGATCTCTAGAGTTGCTGGAAAACCAGAACTAAACCAAACTTTGGACAAACAGACCGAGGTTACTGAGCTGGTTTATTCTATTCAAACCCTAACCCTAACATCCAGCCAGAGCCTTCAGGCTGGTGCGTGGTCCAAAACTCCCGAGTTGGGCCATGATGAGACACATTAAAGATCTAAAGTCAATAAGATTTTACTTTAAATGAAGACATGAGCAGAAACAGGACTCACCCGGCATCGCTGCTGTTCCCACAGATTAAGGCATCTTTGGTTCCTTCCACCTTGTAGAAGTTATCTGGATCAGAAAACAACAACATTATTATTTACTCTGTTCCTAACAGATGCTTCTCAAGAATCAGCTCAACTTGTACTTCTTCTTTAAAAACAAGTATAAAAGTAGTCATGATAGAGTAAAACAAGTATTTGTAATGACACTTCCTGTTTTGAAGAGGAAACTCTGAGCTCAGATCCAGTGGAAGTCAATGGGAGTTTGTGTGTGTGACCTCTGAGAGGACAACATCAGTCCAATCAGAGACACTCTGGGGGGACGGAGACGGACTGAAGACCGGAGGAAAAATGGTAAAAACGTGTAAAGACTGAAAATAAGAGGCGTCACCAAAAGTCTGATAACAGTGATCCTGATAGTTCCCAACAATCCGCTCAGATTTATCCACATCTGAAAAGTCGAGAGTCTACTGTTGAAGCTGAGTCGTGTTTTCTCTCCACCTGTCTGTTCCCAGCCTCCTCTCCGTCTGTCTGCGTTACCTCACGATCAATAAACTCATCAGACTCCGCTCGTGTGTTCTGGCCCAGTTAGACACCGACGGAGCGGGACGACCATAAACACAAAACCATTACAGCAAGCACGCTTGGCTGAACATTTATTCAACACTCAAACTCGACCACAAGCCATTTCCAAGTACATTAATACCCTTTAACGCTGTCCCGTGGAGTACTTCAGGTGCCGGACCGGCCCAACACTCAACAACTAAAGTCTCTGAAGAGCTCTAAGTTCTAATGGTCGTCTTCAGCAGGAAAACAAACTGTTTAACTTCTGCTGTGGTCTGGCGATGGCAGGAAATGTGTTTAACCGTTCTGACTTCTTCAGAGCAGACAGGAAACACATCCAGGGAATCAAACACAGGAACTCTTGTTTTCAGGTTCAAAAAGTGTTGATGCCAAACTCTGGATGAGTTCACTGCTCGGTCCAAGTTCCTACCCTCACTTATGGTCAGGAACTCTGGGTATAGACTGAAAGAACCAGATCCTGGATCCAGGAGATCTAAATGAGTCTTCTCTGCAGAATAGCTGGAATCTCCTTAGAGATCAGGTGAGAAGTTCAGTTCTCTGGGAGAGACTCAGAGTAGAACTGCTGCTCCTCCACTTCCAGAGGAAAGTGAGGTGGTTCATCTGGTAAGGATGGACCCTGGACACTTCCACAGGGAGGTGTTCTGGACATGTCCAACAGGGAGGAGACTCCCACGTTGGAGAGACCATGTCTCGCAGTTGGTCTGGGAACACCTTGGAGTCCTGTCAGAAGAGCTGGAAGAGGTGGCTGTGGAAAGAGATGTCTGGATCTCTGAGACCCTCCATACGTCCTCTTCAGTACAACTGTCTCACATCACATCAAGATGTAGCTACAGGCTGCTACCGCAGATATAACTGTGGGTTTTTACCAAATAATTAAACAAAGACAGAGGTATTTGGACAGATCTATGAGCTTCAGACAGTCCTACAGTCCAGATCTCTCTGAGCATAACGTCAATGATCCTTACGGTTCCTTGACATCTCTAAGGCCGTGACAACGAAACACTCAAATACACATTTAGTGTACGTTTATTCTGAAGCACTGTGACACTGGACCAACCACACCATGGACACGCTGATGATAGACCGCCAAGACCTCACTACAGGATCTGTGTTTGTGTCCAGAACCAGCATGATTCAGTCAGGATCTGACACTTCAAATGACGAGACCACTAAGGTCCAATGAAGACATCACCAAGTTCCTACAAAATCCCTCCATGTTCCGGCTGTTCTTCTTCCGATGCAGTCATTTGGTGGAATGAAGCCTAAAGTCTGTTCTTCTGGACAGAACCAGCTGCTGTAAGGACACAACTCGTCGTCTACATTCAGTCAAAACAAAACGGTTAGATTTGTTTCAAGAACAACGACGTTTGTTTCAGAGTTCTGTTTCCTGTCCAGGTATCCAGACTGTAATCTGTTGAAGTGCTCTGGATCAGCAGTTCTCCAGATGTTCAGCTGGTTTCAGCAGGTTTTACCGTTGGTTTCTTGTTGACTCAGTTTCGGTCGTCGCTCCTGAACATTTTCAGAGGAACGTTTTAAAGTCTGACCTCGTTCAGACAGAAAAATGTTCCTGAACTCCGAGGATGAGTTTAGAGGGTTGGTGTCCTTAAAAGACGGTTTGACTTTCTTCTCCCGGCGCTCCTGTTTTTATTCTGCCGGTGAGGACAGAAAGACGTTCACTCAAACGGGAGTAATTTTCTTATCAAGCGTGACTCAGAGTCTCAGAGAAACAAAACAAGCGGCTGCGCCCGACGAACCGGAGCTAAAACAGCTAAAGCACTTCAGCTCGCCTTGTTCTGTTCTGCTTTCATGTGCAGCGGGGATTTAAATAAACAAATCCAGGTTCTGAGAAGTTCTGACCACAGCTGCACCAAAGGAACCAACGGATTTTAACAGGGCACCCACTGATCCACCGTCATGCACACATATAGATGCTTTTAATTTGAAGGAGCTGTTACGCTGAGGCGTTTTGTTCCCAGATAAAGACCTTTGAACCAAAGTTCTTACCAAAATAAAAGCCTTTTAGTCCTCGCTGACATTTAATAAACACATTTTCTCTTTTCCACGGAGACCCCCGCCTGGGACGGTTTCTACAGGTCTGCAGAATCCGGGGAAATCGTCTCTACGGGACGTCGAGCGGTACAATTTAATTTCTCTTTGAACGTGACGAGCAGCAAACGGCTCGTCAGGAGTTAATAAACCTCGGTCCTCGTTTCCATCAGCGGGAGATAAATTCACACAAGACACGAGTGACGGCGCGGAGAGTTACGGGTCAAAGAGAATTTACCGGAGACTCCGTGAATCTGCTCACCCTCGATGGACGAACATCAGCCGGAGATTAATGTGTTCCAGCCCAAACGTTTCCTTCGACGGCTGAAGGTTTGGGTCAAACTGAACAATTACAATGAAAAACATCAAAGTCTGTTCAAGGAGGCAGAAAATAGAATACACGGTTTATTTTCCTGGGACAAGACTTTTACAGCTCCCTTGTTAAAATTTACCCAAAACGTTCCATTTGTCATAATTTTCAAAGCAAAAATTAAAAAATAAAACCCAAAGAAATAAAAAAGTACACAGAGCGTAAGGACAAGGAGCTTCGGCTTGCTGTTCCTCAAAGACTAAATTATGATAAAACGTAAAAAAAACAGTAAAACTCTCCTCATAGTCATCAATGGTATTTAGTTTTTTAGCAGTAAAGATTTATTTGTATAAATTTGACATTTTAAATCTGGTTTCTCCTCCAAACTGGACTGACGGTTCCTCTCAGAGGTCAAAGGTCAAGCAGCCAAACTCCCGTTGACTCCCATCGTCTCAGACGTTCCTCCCAAAACCAGGAAATTATTTTAATTTATTTTAATTAGATTTATATTAATTTTAAAGGAATATAGTAACTTTTTCTTTACTACCTTTTTATCTGTAAATATTTTAATTTATTTATTTTTATGATGTTAGAATTTGTGGTTTTACAGTTTTTATATTTTATGTTTATTTCCAACTTTTTGTTTCCTTGAGAGTAAAATTATTGTTTTTGTTGTTGTTTGTAGTTTATTCCCCAAAAAACTGAAAACTGAAAACAACAGGATGAGGTTTAGAGAGGATTTTCAAAATAAAGCTCTTAGTGCTCTCCACAATAAGAGCGTGACTCAGATGAAGTCCAGCGTTCCTGCCGGGCCTTAAACAAAACGCCTTCAGAGGAAATGAGCGTTTGAGACCAACGTGAAGAAACATGGTCGCCCTTCAGCTGCTCCTCCAAACAAACGGCATGATGGGAAACGTGTCCTCTGAAGAACGCCATCGATCTGCGCTCTGAGAGCCGAGCCCAGACCCGCCTGGCGGGTCGACCTCAGGGCCGCGGCCTCGGCTCTCAGGTTTCACGGCAGCTTTTAAAGATCGATACGGAAGCCTGCGGGGGACAATTATTTGAAGCGATGGACGCTGAAGCGAACAGGAAGTGGAGATAAGGGCGGAGCACAAAACCCTCGACTGTCACCGGAGACGGACTCAGAGGAAGGAAACGGTTCCTGAGGAGCAGCCAGGCGGTACCGAGCAGCAGAACCGCTCCGGAGCAGGCGGGCGTGATTTAACACAACGCCAAGACGGAAAGACATGAGCAATGACCTCGAGAAGCAGCCTGTCAATCTGTGAAGGGTCAAAGGTCATCTAGAGTCCATCGTTCTACAGAGAAAAGAATGATTCACCCTGAAGGTCAGACTGTGCAGTGCCTCTACAGGTGTCAGTCATCGGATCAAAGGTCAAAGGTCACGACCGCTAAAAACAACATGGCTGCTTCATCTGAAGGAACCACAAGACTTCTGGACTAGAACCAGAGCAGAGGGCTGATGTTTACCCAGAATGCACTGCAGCAGCCAGCTCCTCCAGCTGTCAGCACGGTGGTGCAGGGATGCTGGTTCGGGCCCCTTCAGACCTTCAGTCCAGTCTCCTGGATCAAAACTCCTCTGGAGACCAAAAGATTCTGGAGTCCAGCAGCTGAAGCTTGGACCAAACTGGGTCCAACAGAACCATGACCCCAAACGCAGCAGCTGATCTACAACAGAATGGGTCCGAAGGATCAGAACCAAGGGTCCAGTCAGAGTCCAGAACCTGGGACAGCTGAGCAGAACCCAACGATAGAGTGGTCCAGAACTCCTCCATGTGACCCGTTTCAGATCTGGATCATGGTTCTGATGAAAAGTCTGAGCTGCAGATCCAAACAGGACCCGGTTCTACGAAACACTGACAGTTCCTCCTGAAGATCTTCTGTTTTCAAAGCTTTACAGGTTCTGAAGAACTCTTGATTTGGACCATTTAAATGAAACCAGAACCTTATGGACCATCAGAACCTTATGGACCATCAGAGGGAACTGTAAAGAACCAATGACTAATCGTAACACGCTGTGGTCCACGTGCTTCATGACAGATGCTGTGTGTGTGTGTGTGTGTGTGTGTGTGTGTGTGTGTCAGTTAGAACCACAGCAACAACATGACGTTGTCTGGTCCATTTAGGAAGCCCCGGTCATCACTGCAGCTACGCACGCACGCACACGCACACACGCACGCACGCACGCACGCACACACACACCATGAGAAGCTCCCTCAGAACCTGATGTGTGTCGACTAAAACCTGAGACCAACGACTTGTTTTTGTTTGTTTTAAATGTGAAACAAAAAACTGAATTCTTCCTGTTGGACAGAAACTCAACACGTTTTATTAACATTAATCCAAACAAGCATTTAAAAAGGAAATACAACTATTTATTTATTGGTTTGTTTACTTAGTTTTTTATTTGTTTATTTGTTTTTCATACATTCATATATTTACTCTTTTGCTATCTTTATTAATATTTTATTTATTCTTTTACTTTATTATTTATTAGTTTAGTTTATTAATTTATTTTATTATTAATTTGGGGGAGTGGTGGTGCAGAGGTTAGAGAAGGTGAGACTGTGATCGGAAGGTCACAGGCTCAACTCCACGGACGGACAACATCAAAATGTGGTTGAAAGAGGGGAAACACCAACACCTGCCTCCACCCTCATCTGCTCCACCCTGGGCCCTTGAGCAAGGCTCTTAACCCCCCAGCACAGAAAGTGACCCGACACAACCCTAAAGGGCCAAATCAAAGATAATGTATTGCTGATGTGATTTTATTTCCTGATATTTAGGAGACGGTGGCCAATGACCTTTGACCCTCTGACCTTAAACCAAACCCTGACCATGACCCCACCCTTTGACCCTAAACTTAACCCCGGCTGCCAAGCCTAACTCAGACCTCTGACTCTATGCCTAACCCTCTGACCTTTGAACCTAAGTTTGACTGCCAACCCTGACTGTAAAAGTCCTGACCTCGACCTTTGACACTGGACTTCGGACCCCGACATGAACCCTGGTCATCGCCTCACACAACGCTCTCCCTCCTCGAAGCCCTCGGTGGAGTGAGCTCACAGCTGGAGGTCTGGGTGGGTGATGGGACTGTGCATGTGGAGCCGGCCAGTGACGGACCGATCGGTTTGTTGTTTGGTTGTTAGGTTGCTTGATTGACTGACTGACTGACTGACTGACTGATTGATTGATTGATTGACTGATTGATTGATTGATTATCATAACTCAATGAGTGTCTTGCAAAGGGAAGCAGACAGTTTAGACCCGAACATTTTAAAGTATTCACTACAGACGGTCTCCTGATCCTAACCAGGTCTCTTCCAGAGACAAACAGCAACTGGGAGCAGAACTGGGCGTTAATCCTGCTGGATTAGTGGTTCAGACCCAGACCTGTTCAAGATAAAGACCAATTCCATGGTTCTGAGTCACGTTCAGACCTGAATCCAGAGAGGAACCACAGCTCGACCCGAGCGGAGCCTCACCTTCGTCCTGGATGAAGTCCTTGATGGAGGTCCAGGTCTTGTTGTTGCAGTAGAAGGACGTGTTGGCCGGCAGGCTGCCGTTCAGGCAGTGCTCCGTGCTGCGGACACACTTCTGCCGCAGGTTCCCCATGAAGAGCTGCAGGCCAATGAGGGCGAAGACACTCAGGCAGAACACCGTGAGGATCATCACGTCCGCCAGCTTCTTCACTGACTGGATCAGAGCGCCCACAATGGTCTTCAGGCCTGAGGAATGGCCGGGACGCAGGACGGACAACGGTTAGACAAGTGGGACTAAACAGAAGCGTCTCTAAAGGTTTTCAGCTGCTGAAGCCAAACACAACGTCTTAATCAACAGGTGCAGCAGGTACGGTAAAGATGGCCGCCTGGACATCTGTACGCTTCAATATTTCAGATGTTTACGAACAGAAGAGACGATGTCATGTTGAGAGTCTAAAATCTAAACTGTCCAGATGTTTCTCAATGGTTCACAATAAAATCTAAACAATCCAGATGTTTCTCAATCATTCTCACTAACATCTACAGTCCAGATGTTTCTCAATCGTTCTTAATAAAATCTAAACAGTCCAGATGTTTCTCAATCGTTCACAATAAAA